GGCCAGTGGTTCCCAAACTTTTTCTGCCGGGCCCCCCTTTTGTAGAGAAAAATATATATATTTTTTTTTTTTGGAAAGTCTCTTATGCTCACCAAGGCTACATTTATTTATTAAAAATACAGTAAACACTGTAATATTGTGAAATATTGTCAATTTAAATTATCTATTTGAATGTTTTAACATATAGGCTACTGTATTCCTGAGATCAAAGCTGAATTTTCAGCATAATTACTCCAGTCTTCAGTGTCACATGATCCTTCAGAAATCATTCTAATATGCTGATTTGCTGCTCATTAACCATTTCTGATTATTATAAATGTTGTAAACATTTGCGCTGCTTAATATTTTTGAGGTAACTATTTTTTCACGATTCTCTTATGAATATCTGAAACGGTCCTTTGTGTCAGAGAGCTGGAGTTCGTCAGAAATAGAACGGGGCATCAGTTTACTGCCATAGATTTGTCGTGTCGCGCCGCATCCATAGCAGAGAACATCACTGGGTTCTGTTTGCTTTTGTCACATCGCGCAGCAGAGAACTTCACTGGGTTCTATTTGCTTTTGTCTCATCGCGCCGCTCGCGTCTGTTGTAGACACGTTGTTTTGGTATTTGAATCTTAAGTATATTCATAATCTGCTTTTCGTTTACCTGGCACTGGAAGTCCTTTCACAAACTTGTAACTTACATGCTTAGAGCAAAACCATACATCGTTCTCATTTATATTTCTACATGGCTCCCTGCAATACAACTCTGATTCTTCAATCGCGCCATCTAGTGGTCTGTTATTGATACACCCACAACTGATAACGGAGCGCTCAAGCGGGTACTGCGAGTTATGTTGAGGTCATTAAAATATGTCAAAATAATATTTTGTGCTCAATTATTTACTTATCAGAAAAGTGGCCGCATGATAAGAGGGAAACTTACGTAGTGTAGTCTTTATCACCTTGCAGAGGTTTATTTTGCTAAATAATCTGCTGACTGTACACCAGCCTTGCTGCGCCCATAAGTTTGGGAACCACTGGAGTAGGCGATTTGTGCTCTATTAATTTGGTCTGTTACGATGCTCTGTGTTTGATTACTAATGCCTGTGTAGTACGGCGTTGCACACAGAGGACAAAAAAACGATCAGCCTCGACTCATTATCGTCATTTGTGTTAAAATTTGCAAAGCGTACCAAATTGAACAAAAGTATATAAATGCATTGATTGAAATCATGAATATATAACGGTATCCACGGTATAGCAAAATCCATATCATGGAACAACATAATACCGGTAGTCACTTTCATACCGGTATAGCGCCCACCCCTAATAGATAGATTAGATGATAGATAGATAGATAGATAGATACTGAATATGCATAAAACACAGATGCACATTCAGTGTGTGTGTGTATATATATATATATATATATATACATATATATATATATATATATATACACACACACATACATTTATATTATACACACACACACACACACACACTGAATATGCATATAAGCCAAGACTTTGTACAGTATAGATACAATGTAAACAGAAATGCAAGGGGGTAAAAATAATTTATTTCTAAAAAAAAAAAAAAACTGAGTTTTGATTACTAAGTGAACAAATGATGTATAAGTGTTTTCACACATGATCACTGTGTGTAGGTCATCAGTAAATGAGTGTGGCATTTAAATGGCATTGTTTCCCAAATTAAACAAAAGAGCTGTTAGTTTCGAATGATGTGTGTAATGTAGAGAACTGTGTTTAGAGTTTTGCAAAAAGTTTGTTTTACAATATCAAACTGAGTTTAAAGCATGTAATGTGCTTATAGTTTTGCAGAAGGGAACATTTAATGTAAAAGCCAGTGAAAGTGATTTTGACATAACTAGCTGTTTTTATATGTAAACTTTGTGTGTTTTTGACAGTATTAGCACAATCAGCCGATAATTAAGATAACCAAGTAATCAGGTGCTGTTTGACTGGACTTTTAGTGTACGCACACTTCGGGTGTACACGCTCTGAATAAGCACATGTTAGAACAGCACACGAATGAAATGTTTAACCGGCAAGGCTTTAAAGCACATGCAAATGTACTTTTGTGATTGCAAATAAGTGCAGTGTCTCGTGAGTGTAGCTCTACCGCTGAATTAACATTTGATGTGAATGTGTCTCGCAAGTTGCAGTTGGAGATGGAGCCGGGAGACATAGTACAACGGTAGACGTTGTGTTTTGTTAGTAAATGTTTCATTATATTACTAGTGTTGCCTCCTTTGTTCACTGTTACACTACTGCATATATTGCATCTGACACTGGTGTCGCTTAGTTCTCATTCGGTCGACATCTCACTATGGGAAACGCCTCTTGCGTGGCCATCCATGAAGCCCTATACAATCACGCCCATCAGGCCCATGCAACCCCCACCCCTTCCTATTTAAACAGCAGCGCTGGCTCAATATGGCATCCTACATCTCTTCACTCGTGGCATCCAAGCTACGAGCCCTTGTTTTCAGTGCACTTAGTGTTACTTTTGGCAAGACTAAACTGTCCGAAAGACAAGTTTCCACTTGTTGTAGGGCGTCAAGTTATCTAAGAACATTAAGTGTATTGAAACACTTTACCAAGCACATAAAGTAGACAAAATCAACTTACCAGTTGAATTATGGCTTCTTCCACGAAGTCAAACAAGTCTAGAACACCTTCTCAACCTCGTCCTGGGGGAAGTGGATTCACTATTGCAGCTAAGGATCCGCATGTATTATGCCTGGCGTGTCTGGGCCCGGAGCATGCCCAAGCGGCATTACAAGCACCGATCTCTTGTAATCAATGCAGCAAACTGTCTCCCGGGGTGCTGCGCAGGAGAGCGGTGTTTGTGCAGGATGTG